ATAAATAGAGATATTGTCAGGTATCAATATTTTAATTCAACTAATGATCATTTCGATCGCATCCTCAGAGCTAAAAACAATACAAATATACAATGTGAAATATTAACAGGTTGGTTATTGTATACAAGATGCGTAAGCAATGTACTACTTAAGATATAAACAAACTTGTAATGTCGAAATAGTGTTTACTTTTTGGCCACAAAAAACTAATAAATGTTAGAATAAATGATAGTATGAGCTTAATTAATTCTACACCATTAATTGCAGTAATATAAGTTACTGATAAAGAAAATAAAATGTAAAGATTAACATGCTTTTTGCAACTATCGGAAGAATATTGCAAAAATGGTCGAACCGAAATAGAACAGTTTTAAGTTTAAATGAGGTACGCAATTGGAAACGTATTAATATTTTTTTTTTAAAAAAAAGGTAGTTAAAAATATTATAAAATAAATCTTGAGCACGAGTTATATAATGAAAGTAAGAATATGTCGATAACAAATCTATTTTGGAGTAGACTTAATTTTTTAACAGAACGACAATTTTATTTTTATTTCACAAGACCCGGTCACTTATCTTTTAATAGGGACACTGTTGAAAGCGCAGGTGAGTCAAACTATTTTAAGTCAATCGAAAGCGGCTTCACAAAATTCAAATATGTAAGTATAGTCAATTTCTGTTATGAAATAAACTTCTGTTATGTTACTAATGTGGACTGCGTTTCTGCTGACCGCGGGGCCAGGTGACCACCTAATATAAAGAATATTTACACACGCCTTATAGGAAAATCAGTCCGTTCCAATGTAAAATGGCCTTTCATGGAAGGAACCACTTAATAAAGTGGGCCACTTAAGCAGGTTTCACTGTTTTACAGTACACCCGAATCATTTTGATGCATATTAGATAAGTATTATAAAAATATATTTTCAATTCTGTACATTTTCAAGGAAGAGGTCCATGGACCCATGGCCTCAGGACCACGGTCCTTCCGCCAGAGGATGCGCAGGGGCGACGGCGGCGTTTCGTCAACGGCGGGCGGGAAGCGTCACACCCCTTGGGGCGGGTGTTGGGTTGGATGCCTAGGAGCGGTTGCTGGAGGTGGATGCTGAGGACAGGTGCTTGGAGGGGCGAGTGCTGGATGACGGGGGTTGTGTGCCGGGTAGTGGGGGTGGCGGGTGCTGGAGGGATGGGTGCTTG